CCAGGATCATGAGCGCAGAAAGAAAACGAAAACAGGCCGTGGGATTCACCAAGAAACATAAAGCATTGTTTTGAGAGAAGGCGTCATTTGGCTTCAAGTCGTTGGACAGTGCAGACGTATCAGCATGAGTGCATTCGATGTCCCCGATACGGAATGGGTGTCTCAAAAGATCAGGCACAAGAAGTTGTATGTGGATATATCCCCATGGAGACCCTCTGGGGATATTCCTTCTTCTCCTCTGTCATCATCCTCAGAGGATATTCCTTCTCCTCTGTCATCCTCGTGGACACAACCTGGATACAGCTTGAAGAATCCTACTCACCCCGAGTATGCCAAGTTTTATCAACGTGCGAGGACGTTTCGAACATGGCCTGTACAGATGGCCCAGTCGCCTTATGACTTGGCCATGGCTGGCTATTTCTATCATGGACGAGGTGATAGTGTGATCTGTTATTGTTGCGGCCTGAAAATTCATCGATGGGAAGCCACAGACCAACCCTGGCGAGAACACCTGAAGCATGCCAAAGTCCCTTGTGAATACTTGTGCCTGTTTTGTCCTGAGGAAGAAATCAATGACAACTACAGACAACTGGTGGCCAAAGGAGAAGAAGAATGCAAGAGAAGAGCAACGTGCTTTGAACACGGTACAACACCACCAACCACCTGTAGTTGTTGGGGTCGAGATGTCCCTGATCAGGCAGCATAAAGGGCCGTCCCAATGGAAGAGGGGTTCAGTTGAACACCAGACACCGAACGGTCAAGACCTGTTGTGCAGACCTGTTGTGCAGACCTGTGGTCCAGATCAGTTGTCAAGATGATGCGCCATGATGCCTGCGAATTGTTCCAAGGCACAATAGGATCTCTTTCCTGTCTCTCCTGAGATGACTTTGGCTCAAGAAGGTCAGTGGATTCATTACAGTCCTCTGGCACCCCCTTCGGTCGCGGGTCCCTTCCAATTTAACATTGCTAACCCTGTGAATGCCTACATCGATATCTGTGTTACTTCCTGCATTTTTTGTCGAATTATATAAAAAGATTCTTTTGAGAGATGCGTGGTCCTGAAAAGGACCGCTGGGTGAAATTAACTCACAGTGGGAGTGACCACAGGTGTGTTAAACACTGACAGGCATAGATGGTCATCTTTGTTTTCACAAGGCACTTGCTTCCAAACGGCCAATTCCCATGAAGATCCGAGTTAGTATTGGTCTTCAGCAACCCATGCTTGTCGTAAGAGGCGACTCACGGGATCGTGTGATCAGACTCGCTGAATTGATGGACACATTCCATCGTATCCCAGTTATGTAGATGGATGCTCATGCTGTTGACCACAGGTGTGTTAAACACTGACAGGCATAGATGGTCATCTTTGTTTTCACAAGGCACTTGCTTCCAAACGGCCAATTCCCATGAAGATCCGAGTTAGTATTGGTCTTCAGCAACCCATGCTTGTCGTAAGAGGCGACTCACGGGATCGTGTGATCAGACTCGCTGAATTGATGGACACATTCCATCGTATCCCAGTTATGTAGATGGATGCTCATGCTGTTGATCACTGGATTGTCTGGTCCAGACTCGATTATTTACAGACTGCCACCATATAGCTGGTATATTGCTGAGCGTGGTGTAAAACTAAACTCACTCACCCACTCACTCAAACGCCTGGTGTGAGTGTCCTTCAATAATGTAGCACAATAGATACACTGAAATGTGGCATGATAGTCTGTTGTACCATTGGCGTAGACAGGAAGACCTGCGCTATCTTACGTCACGGATCCCCTCCAATTTAACATTGCTAACCCTGTCAGTGCTTACATAAATTTTAGTCAGTGTTAGCTCCGCATCTGCCTCAAAATCAAGAATACAATGGCGCACTCGCCGTGTTCACGGTGAACGACATGATGCATTCCCTCTTACGAGAGGTGTGTGTGCCTGTGGAAAACAATCATTTGGAAATTACTCCCTCTATGGGAACCTATCCTACCGAGCCTTTTTGAAAACGTGACTAAGTTATGTGGAGGCAGCCAAACGGACATATATCCAGTGTCCAGGATGGTATTACAGATGAAACTGGAAAAACATAGATGACTTTAATGCTATCGCCCAGAATGGCAACGCAGGGCTCCTACGTTAAAGAAATGAGAATGAGCCGTTCTCGGAAAATACCCAGTTCTAGGAATTCCACATGAGCTGTGAAGTCATCGATGACGTCACAGTTATGCAATGTCTAACGTAAACACAACAGCGGTAGCCATTTGCCATGGGACCGTCACTTTCAAAGAATGGTCTTATGCTCACTCTTCACAGTTAAATCTCGGGATCGCCTTAGTGATAGTCACGATCGTGACACGGGGTTACGAAAGAGTGCAAACAATTCCCCAAAACAAATGGATCAAGAGTATGGTGGACAGGGAAGCCCATTGAATGAAAACAACATGTGTGAGTACGTACCGTTACTGGGCATTGTGTTGCAAACTTAACAGCCACTTGAACCATTTAATAGGAGATACAATGAAATCACAACGTTGCTAAGATCATTAGGTGAATATATTGTGACATGTTACAATTATGATGTTACAGTTCATACCGTTTGTAAACAAACGATCAGGGACGCCCCTAATCCTGCCTCTTTTGTCAAAGTGTTCTTGTTAGCGGGGGAAATAAACGTTTGAAAAAAATGCCAGTCTATCGTTGTTATTATTGTTGTTTGCATTGAATGTACCATTCTTTTGAGAGAGATGGGTGGCCCTGAAAGGACCGTTTTGTGGTGTGTACCTCACTCACGGGGACCACAGCTGGCACATACATTGACATGGGTGAATGCCCAGCATTCGTTTCACTACACACTTGCATCCATGCGTCAACCGGTAAATATAGGTATCTTTGAGGCTGGTACCACAATAAACACACTTTAGGACTACATCATCGTCACCGCACGCACGCCATCGTCCACGCCACTCTCCTCCCTCCCTCCCTCCTCTCTCTCTCCTTCCCTTCCTCTCCTTCCCTTCCCTCTCCGTCCCGTCCCGTCCGCCGCTCGTCCGTTCCGCCATCTTGAAACGCGTCTACGCTCGCGAGATCCCGCGAGAGTCCACGAGATCCCACGAGATCTCACGCGATCCCACCGGATGGGACGCCATCTTGAAACGCGTCCGCCATCTTGGCCCGGAGGTGACGTCATCGTCATGCGCGCGCACCCACCGGAACCGGACGTGACGTCATCGCGATGCGTGCGCACCCACCGGAACCGGAACCAACCGGAACCCGAGTGATCTCCCCTGATGGCGGCACATCCGGTCCCCGTGGGTCGCCATCTTGATCAAGATGGCGGCGCCCATGGGGACCGGATGTGCCGCCATCTTGAAAATCCCCCAGGGAGACGTTGCACACTACTCCTACTATCATGTATATTTTCATAAACATGTAGCAATTTATGATACCTAAAATATTTGTATATGCATCGAACTGATCAAGTCCATGATATAACATTTTATTTGTGATGTGTAACGGTGCAAGATAAAATTCCAAACCATGTATTTATATCGGTTTATGATATATAAGGACATAACTGATTTGAAATTTAAATACAAAAATACCGAGGTGCTCTTTCGCTGTACAGAGTTGCGTCCCCTGGGTTCGATTCAGGAATAAATACTAAATCGCATCATATTGCAGGATGTGACTGGTGCCTGCATCTGGTTGATAGTTATGATTGCTTCATCTGTAATATGGCTCGGCTCGATCGGAATTACAATATATACAGAAAAAAGATGATCCAGTCCTAATTCCTCCACCTAAGCATGTGTTTATCTAATGATTTCCCTATCACTAATAGGGGCACCTTATCAGTTCCAGTCTGATTAGCACAGACAGTGATTTCCGTAAAATCACTAATCTGCCTTTGAACTCACCCGTCAGAGGCGGAAAGGTGTAAGCCGCGCTGGTTTGTTAATTGGATCAGTTTGCTACACTAATCAACTTCTCATTGACTGACTTCGGCTTATGAAGAGGTACAGATAAGCTACGTTTCTGCGTAAATTACGCAAATATTTATATGAAAACTCTATTCCTTTTAAGTCTATTGCGTACTGGTACGCTTGAAGTTTTGTAAATACTCAATAAGTTTGATCTTACATGCGTACACACATAAATGTCACATTTCAGCTTGCGTACCGGTGGTTAGATAAAATAACTAAGGTATATTGTGAGGTTCTATTTCAACTTGGCAACTTGCAATCTTTCTTATCGTTTCTCATATTACAGATCAAATATGAATAATAAACACGTATACCAACATTTAAACTTTATTATATTTTCACAATTAATGGAAAATGACAAAGTACCAAATTGAGTTGGAATGAGGTGGGTACAATATATTTGGTAACTCAAAGGAAAAATTAAGATACCCAATTGAGATGAACACAAGCGAGTACATAACTCAATGACTCAAAAGGTTATCTATGGCTCTGCTTATATGTATACAAGATTGCTGTTGTTTGAATCTCATGGGACCAAATGTTCTTCTCGAGTCATCGTGTGTATTTATGAGACGAATTCGTATAACCGGTATTCAAATGATGACAACTATAACAGGGAATGGGCAGGACCGACAGGTACTTCGAGTTATGCATAATATTCGAGACACCGGCATTCGATTCATCGGGATTTGACTGTATGTCTTCTTTTCTTCGGCGTACTAAGACTGACTGACTGAGTTTGGTTTTACGCCGCCTTTAATAATATTCCAGCAACATCACGGCGGGGACACCAGAAATGGGCTTCACACATTGTGCCTATGTGGGGATTCGAACCCGGGTCTTCGGCGTGACGAGCCAACGCTTTAACCACTAGGGCTACCCCACCGCCCCTCGGCGTACTAAGAAGAAGCAGTTGGGTGCTTAACACAGAAAAACTGGTTTCAACTCATCATATGTGCCATGTAAAATCGATTCTCCGAGTTCCACGCCCTGAAGAAAACTGTTGTATACCTGTTATTGTTTTAAATAACGTCGAAAAACATACCTCCCTTTCTTGGATTCCCACCAGCTCTCTGTACGGGGGCGGCACCGAGCAATAAATAGGACGAGGTTACTTGGGCAGGTGAACGCAGGTGACAATGAAAACGAAAGTACATCAAACAGGAAGTGGGACACCATGGTAGGACATATTACTTTGTAATCCAGGTAAGATCCCTCGGATTAATTACATACTGTAGTTTTCATTATACACTCAGTCTCAGATTGTAACATGTCAGGGTTGCTAAGAACAGATTGTCTCTGTTCATCCCTTTGTAATCATCAGAAAGTGTAAGTGCTTCATCTGTGTTGTAGGCCATTGCATATGATTTACCCTTTATGTTGTCCGACATCATTTCATGCAAGAGATTGTGTCCTAGATTGGACGTATTTGCCGGTATTAAAGGAACAAGTCAGTTATTGACTTCCTCAGTCAAAACCAGGCTATTCAAATCTGTTGAGTGTTGTCATTCAGTCTGTCCACAGTAGTTAATCGTTCAATATGTTGAACCACACAGTTGGAGCTATATGCACACTAGACAAACGCATAGTCATGTGGATCAGGGACTCTGAAACAGACTATGTGCATTGATGTTCAACTTTATTTACGGTTTCCAATTTAATTTAATTTTCCATCTCTATTAATAGGCTGTGACGTTATTTGTTATTAATAGACCGGGATTTCCAGCTTTCTATGTTATTCCCTGTAATTATTTTGATGTGATGTTTCGGTGTACATACTGCAGGGCTCCAGATAAGGGTCGTATCGGCGTATGTACGCATAAAAATATGCACGATACGGTAGGAAATAATTTAGAAAACGTAGCATATACGCACCACAGCAATGGTGTCCGGTCTTAGAATCATTTACAGAGTCTGACGTATTTATCTGAAAGAGTGTTGTTTATTGTTTATTGACCTGTTTACACAAGACTAGCAATGTTGTGGTGCATATATGAAACGAAACACAGGATTACTGATACGCCATTAAATTCCATTCAGTACTCAAAATGTTCTCTTTAAGTTTTCCAGTACTTCTATATTGAAAAATAAGGAGTTCGTACCCTGATGTTGAAAAATTATCTGTAGCCCTGGATACTAATATCGCTACAACGCAAGTGAAATACAGAAATGCGAAGTAGGGAGAGTACATACACGTTGCTATATGATGTTTATACCAAGTTGAATGTTGATCGATTATAGAATTAGAATAAACAGGATTACCAAGGATTTGGACAAGGTGTTCGGGATACAGTAAAGATGACAGGGATCATAATCAAGCTGTGGCAGCTTGTTCTTTTCAGACTCGCTGACTTGGTTGACGCATGTCATGTAGATCGATGTCAATCACAGTGTGGACGAGACTCGAATATTTACAGAACGCTGTCGAATAGCTGGCATATTGCTGAGTGCAGCGTTATACAACAAACACAAACACATTCACCATACCATCGTCTTAATGACCATGGGGGTTGGGGGTTGGTTGGGTTGACAGCTCAAAATCGTACGCCGTTGGTATCAACTCGGGATTTCTGAAGCCAGTTTAATTATTGTCCATAACAGACTTCATCAGTGCGTCTGCTTACAGTAAACTTAAAGACAGCTGAAAACAGTTTAACCCCGAAATGTTGTCTATTTCAGACATTTCTCTGAAGGATGGCACAAGCTTCTGTTGATGCAGTTGTTTCAAAGGTGACACCTGGAAAGAAAGAAACAAAATTGAAGATATGTCTGCTTGGACCAAGTGAGAGCGGAAAATCAGAGTTTGTGAAATATCTGATCAAAGGCAACCCTAACAAGCTTATTTGTGTTAGTGATTGCTTCTTTGTGCATGGACTTCGCCTGGAGTATGCCCCGCTGTGATCTTTGACGTCACAGAATGCAGAGGGAACATAAGATCACAACTCCAGCAGGCAAGTAAACACAAACCCGATGTCTACTTTCTGTTGTTTGACGTGAATTCCAAGACTAGCCTCTACAAAATGAAAACTCCTGGCTCAATGATCTATACGACCGGGACACTGTTACTATTACCATCGGCAACAAGTCCGACCTGCCCTCAAATACTCAACATGCCAGGTTCCTGGGGTATTGGACAAAGGGTGGTTGTCAGGACATATGGAGATTTCATCCATAACCGGACAAAACATTGATCGCTTGGTGCAAAGAACGGTAGAGATCTTTACAGGTTTAGATGTTCAAGGCCAAATACCTCAGGTAACTCGTGCCATGACTGCATGTTCTCTGTCCAGCCAACCGCCTTGTAATGAGTACAAGATGGACACCAGTCCTAAAGGTGTATGTCTTATCCTCAGTATGAGGTCATTTCCAGATGACAGCAAATACAGATATGGCGCTGAACAGGATGAAGTCAGCTTGGAAGAACTGTTTAGACAGTTTGGTTTCAAAGTAGAGATCAAAACAGATTTGGAGTGTTTTGAGCTTCTAAAAACGCTGAAGGGCATGGCTTTACTGGATCACTCTCAGTATAGCTGTTTTGTTTGCGCTGTGATGTCTCACGGGTCGTCCACAGCCATCAAAGCAGCAGATGGTCTAGATGTAACAGTAGACCAGATTACGAAGCAGTTCACGGCTAAACAGTGTCCTTCACTTCGGGGCAAACCCAAGGTGTTCTTGTTCCAGGCTTGTCGAGGTGTACATGGACAACAGTTTCACCTTCACGAAACAGACTCTTGTTATGGCGACATGGAGGACGATGCCATAGTCCCTGTCCCCAACGAGGCCGATTTCCTGATTGCAAGGTCAACCGTTGACGGCTATGTCTCTTATCGTGACAGAAAGAAGGGATCTTACTTCATTTCCTACCTTGTGGAGATACTGAGAGCCAACCCTGAACACAGCCTTATGGCGTGTCTAACCTTGCTGAATGAGCGTGTTGCTGACCTACAGTTTTGGGGAGACACATGTCAGATGCCATGTTTCCACACCACGCTCAGGAAGGATCTCGTCCTGGGACGGTAACTCTCAACATACACTGTGGAGATGCCGGTAAGAGTTGTGACAGGGGTTCAATCTGAATATTATCAGATTAGGTTCAAGCAAGCAAATCTTCCACCATAGACATCATGGTCATAGGCGTCGCTGCGTCAGCCTCTGTAAATACCTTCGCATAAGCCACTCGACCAAAGACGTTGACACTTGACATAATTGTTACAGTCAATCAAGACCCTTCCCTTGTTCGGGAGGATACAGTCCGATATTCGATAAGGGCGACTCGGCAGATTGGCATGAATTACAAGGGTCGACGTAGATTCGAGTTTCTCAACAGTCATCTTCGGCGATTTTTGATAATGTTGCAAAACTAGACGTTCCTCATATTTACGGGATCCCGTGCATCAATTGTACTTGGACGGAACATGGACGTTTGTTCAAAATAATCCAATGGGATACATGTAAATTCTGACAATACAAAATGAAATAAACTGAGGTGAATTGCAGTTACGCTTCGTTACATTGTAAGACTATGATGAACTGTTGTGAAGTCAGTAAAGGTTGTGTTTTCACTTTCTAGCTAGTATTGGGAAGAAATGCATGGTTATTTTAGGGGCCAAATAGTTATTGCATTCACAATATCAGTTCAGACGGGTACACAATCGCAGGCTGGTTAGCAATGACAGATTGCAAACTCGAGGAGACAAAATTTCAAATTCAAATGTTTATTTAATGACTAGCCTTATATACATGAAGTGCGGTACAGGGTCATGTTAGCATAGATTCCAGTTTCATTTCCTGAAGGCATGTTTGAAATATAACACAACAGATTTTATGTGTTTAGTTTTGTGATTGTCATAAGGCGAATATATTGTGGTACTGAAGGTCGAAGTAAGTACTTATTTGATATGTATCTCTTTCGAACGTTCTTCAAGGATGGGGGTGGAGGGGTAGCCAAGTGGTTAAAGCTTTGGCTCGTCACGCCGAAGACCCGGGTTCGAATCCCCACATGGGTACAATGTGTGAAGCCCATTTCTGGTGTCCCCGCCGTGATGTTGCTGGAATATTGCTAAAAAGCGGCGTAAAACCAAACTCAGTCAGTCAAGGATGGACACACAAAGGGAAAAGGTACAAATCTATGATAGATCTATAGTTTAAATAACAATGCATACATATTCTTTCAGATTCTGCAATTTGATCCCATAAAGCCATTACATTAGAGTGTTAATGCCTGTACCAAGGTAATATGTACATGCGAGATATTGGACAATCTCTGCCACCTCTAATCTTTAATAGTGTCTCATGCAGTTGCAATAAATACAATGACATTCCTAAAACGGAAAGTTACATGAATACATTGAATGATTTTTGTGAATATTAATTCAGATATAAACATGCAGTAGTCGATATTTGTCTTTCAGAGCAGACTATAATTGCAACCCGTGAAGATCCGGGTTAAAAAGTGATCTTCAGGACCCCATGCTTGTCATAAGAGGCGACAAACGGAATTGGGTGTCCGGCTCGTATTGTTATCGTGCTAAAATTAAGCAAATATATATAAAATATAATTGATTAATTTAGCTTTATTGTAAATATTTGGTTTGCGATCGTATAGTTATAATATTAAATTCTTTTGGTACAAACATATGCTCACTCAATACATTTGGTTTGTTATACGCAGTGATCGCTTTAGGAAAACATGTCACTGCACAGAAAATCTATGCCTGCACTGCGGTGCAATAAAATGTGAAAAGTCAGTTGGGGCTATTGTCCACAGGTAACTCTTCCCTCCGGTCATAGCTGTCAATACGATGGACATAAGCAGTTAAAACAAAGATGGTTTATGTTTGTCATTCGAGCTGGTCATCTTGAATGGAAACTGTGTGCGTGGCACGAGATGACAGATCACTGTGTTCCGGGTTAAAGGGTATATGGGCGGTCTACTCCCATTTGTGAGAACTCCCAGTTGTGAGACAGTGAAGTAGGTACTTAGCACAGAAAACACACCTTACTCCCCTATCTGAATGGATTAACCCCAGCTAATTATGGATTAGCTATTTAACTGAATCTTGTGGAGGTAACTTAATGAAACTCTAAAGAGAAATTAATTTACCTACTCAGATTTACGTGTTTGAAAAATCTAGCAATAACTGTTGTAACAATAATTAATCCAAATGTATTTATTAACCTTTGACTGCTCTTTCCGATCACCATTATGGCAGGCCTTCAGCAAGTAGAATATATCACCAGTTCAGGATAATCTTTTTCAGTAATTCAGTATCTATTGAAAACAATAAATGCTCTTCAACGAACAATGTCTTCTGTGTTAATTAACTCATTAATGAACTATGCCTCCTGCTGCGGGTACTCTTCAGCAACAGGGCTGTTCCCACTTTCATCGTAGGGATGGGGAAGCACCACCTGTGTGCACTGAACCATTAATTAAGGTGTCTCACAAATGGGAGGGCAGGTGTAGGTCCTAACGATCACTTGCATTCCACGTCACAATTCTGTGCTCACGGTTTCCTTCTCTATTCAAGGTAAGCAGCTCACTAATTCTTATTGATGTATACATGTGTTTTGTTATATGCAATACGGGTGTATTATTGTAATTAGTGATTTTATTATAATGTAACATAAGCGTTACTTTGACCAATGTGTACAAGGTGTATTTCCAGACTTGTATGCAATGTTTATGTCAATTACGTTAAACTATATTATAACCTGCAATATAGAATTTCTGCGACAAATAGTATTTTATAAAAGTAATCATTGTATCTCCCTTTGCGACTGGTATGTTAAGACATGAAGTTGTCTCCCTTCATTACTAGCGACGCATCTAAAAATGATTACCAAACTTTAGAATAAATGTAATGTGTCAGATTTGTAGAGTTCATACTGTAATGTATATTGTGTTGTTTGATTTAATTATCAAGTCATTAATGGACAATGTTAAACTATAGGCTAGGTGCAGCGTATCACGCAAACTACCTTTACATATGTGAACCTGGAGTTAATTGAGATATTTCGTGGATCATTGCTTTAGTAGCCTCCGGCCACACTCGTAATCTCTATCCACCAGGAGCCCCTTTGTCGACATTGTGTATCATTAACCTGTACTCATGTATAATTGTCTTTATGTCATATGTGTTTCATTGTATGAGTTTATTGTGAATAAGAAAACATGTGACACCATACTTACTGTAAAATGTTGTTAAGCCATTACCGCAATAATTCTAAAATATGGAATGTTTAAAATTACTTACTGTTTATGAATATCTTAGATTATCAAACTTTCGTTTCATTTATTTTATACATTGCACGGTATATGAATTCTTATAAATATTATTATGTTATTATATAATCTTATTGATTGTTCTGTAACCATCACTTGCACTCCAGAAATAAACGGATCGTCACAATTCTGTGCTCACGGTTTCCTTCTCTATTCAAGGTTCCCCAACAACACAATTCCCATCTTAAAGTGAGGTCTCTACTTCTCAACAAGGAGGAGGCCTCACAAAATTATCAACTAGACGAAGTCGTGTATTAAGACCAGTAACCACACGATTTCAGTATCTCAACTGCGTAGACCGATGTTCATGCTGTTGCTCACTGGATTGTCTGGTCCAGACTCCATTATTTACTGACTGCCGCTGGAATATTGCTGAGTGCGATGTAAGACTAAACTCACTCACTCAGTGCAATAGCTGCACATAACATAGCAGAAAAAAACAACCCTCAATAATATAGTAACATTACCATAAAGCCCTGGGATGCGGAGTTATATCATTCATGTAATAAACAAATCTGGGGAAATTAGATTTGTGAGTTCTGGTGGTTAATCTGAATGACAGATTCGCTACCGAGGATGAAACAGAATTTACCCTTATAAATCATTTGTTCAAGGTCACATGCAACCAAAAAATCAAACATAATTAAAAACACAATTATCACTTATTCATGACATATAATATACATTGCTGGTTATGAAAAACATCTAAACAAAATTATAAGCGTACAATCGCAAATCGAAAGTGCAATATTGTGTACATGGGTTTACTTCCCAAGAAACGAAGCAGCCGGGATACCGAACCCAGTCAGAGCGGGTGGGTGTGCACTCAAGTGTAACGGCTGGTTCATTTGCAGAAGCCCTCATGGCTCATTGTGTGTGTATATATAGATATGTTGGGTTTTGTAATTACATGCTCATTTTTGTGTATAACATTTTGCAATCAACAGACATCATAACATGTCATGTGTAAAAGTATCACACCTGCCTGTCTGTGTAATTACATAATGTGACAGAGACCGAACTCGGGCAATAAATCAATGCATTGTGTTTATGGTGTATAGCCTGATTGGTGTTAAGTTCAAATTGCATGTGGTCAGTGGTCGCAGTTGTGTATTGAATATGGGGTGTCCTCCCATTTGTGAGAACTCCCAGTTCTGAGACACATTAATTAATGGTTCAGTGCACATAGGTGGTGTTTCCACATCCCTACAATGAAAGTGGGATCAGCCCAGCCCAGTACCCACAGGAGATTACAGGAGATTACATCAAATACAACTATTCTCTAAGTAGTCATAGTTAGAGACTTACAGTTGTGTGTGTCTGACAATCTATTGCAGGAATATAAATCAATCACGAGAAGGTTGAGTTAATTTCAGTATTTCCCTGTGAAAGTTTGAAGGTTGTGTCTTGATGATATAATCGTGGACGGATTCAACTATTTTCTGGTTTACACAAGGAGTAAATTCTTTGTTTCCGTTCAAAAATTGATCAAGGTTATAACGGGTAGTTGATATCCACAAGAGCAACATGCACTGTCTATTAAATGTCTGTCATACTTATCGGCGTTTGGGTCGCTAGATCCGAGCCTTTGACAAAAACAAGAGCCATAATTAAGATCAATATAAATCTTGTTTTCGTTTTTTTGTACTTAGGTTTTAAAATTCTTTGAGACTGCATGACTCTTTGGAATTTGATAGGGCATTCCATAAATTTATGGTGTCGGGCTGTAAATTTCAGAGCTATTTCTTAAACTATAGCTTGTAGTTTCGGAGACGGAGTAAATCTGAGTAGGTAAATTAATTTCTCTTTGATCACGAAGTTACCTACACAAAGTGTTTAATTATTAAAGACATTTACCTGAGTATGTTAATCAATTTATCTTATAAAATTTCATTAAGTTACCTTCACAAGATTCAGTTACATAGCAAATCAGTAATTAGCTAGGGTGAATCCATTCTATCAGACAGGGGAGTATGGTGTGTTTTCGTTGTTAATTACCTACTCCACTGTCTCATAACTGGGAGTCTCACAACTGGGAGTTCTCACAAATGGGAGTAGACCTAATATGGTCATTAGCAGACAGGCAGGCAGACACATAGGTGTCAATAAAACAGACATTGAGTTTTGTCTGTGACAACGACATATTTATATCACAGTTAGAAAATCTGTCAACGCTAAATAATGAAA